GAAGGCAGCGTCTAGCTGGCTGTCCAGACACCAGTCTGACCACAGCGCTCCCATCCTCGCCTCCCTCTACTCTGCTATCGTCCCAGAGATGTGCTCTTGCCCACCCCACTCACATTCCTCCCTGCCTCCCTCCATTTCTGGCTGACAACGCAGGAGTAGGTGGTGGTGGGGTCACTTCCCAGGCAGAAAGATGAGGCAGATCCCAGGGAGACAAAAGATGAGAAGGGACACCTTTCTCCCACCAGAGAGATCACATGACAGAGATCTCGGAAAGTTTGGGACTTACTCACTTATCCCCTATGATAAGGACACAAAGGACCCCTAGCAACACGGATCTCCATTCACAATTCCACCCCCACCATGATGCCCTCCACATCACACACATTCATAGGAATAACCCACTAACCAGCATTTCAACAGGCATATGGGGCTAGTAAAAGCCAGCTGTGGGCACATGTTCTCATGTACCTTTCTCTCTCATGTACACATGCCCGAGGTTATATCTACCCTAGTTCACACAGGTATTTAAACAAAAACACACAGAGTCACTTAAATATGTTCACACACATGCACCCTCCAGATGGCCCTTCTTCCCGGAGTTCCCCCTGCAAAGGGCCTTTTCCTAAAAGTTTGAACAAAGTTTTAGAGCAGACATTGGCCTTCCGACTGCCAGGCACACTCTTCTTTGCCTCACATCCTGCTACTCACAGCCAGGAATAGCGTCAGGTCCGAGATGCAGGGAAAGCCGGAGTGCTGCTCTCCAAGGCAGTCCTCCAAATCTTTATGCCTCAATGTCACTGAGTACATCTGTTCACCTTTCCCCCCAGCTGGGGTTGCGAGTGGAGTCATCTTCCTTAGGGGTCAGCCTTCTAGGTAGAGAGCTCAGGCAGCCACTACCAGGCTGGCACAAAAGGATTATATACTAAGGGGAGGCAGGGCTTCCCGTGCCATGTGGGGCCGGGGAGGTGGGGCCAGGAAGTCGGAGAGGCTGCCCTGCTGCTGGGACCCTCCCTGCCTTGGGCTTTCTGATCCATGATCCCCAGTTCCTCCTAAAAAAATTCTTGAAATTCCATCTACTTTCTACTCAAGATACCGAGCCCCCTGCTAATTAGAGCTCTCATTGTGCCCATCCCCACATTTATACCACAGAATAGAACTGTGAACAAGAGACAGATATTGGAGTCAGAGTTCAGCTTAGGTTTGTGGTTCTGGGAGAGTTACTTCAGTTCATTGAAGTTCAGTTTCCTCATCTGTAAATGAGAATGATAATAGCTACCTCATAGGGTTGCTATGAGGATTAAGTGAGATAACGTAGGTAAATTTAGCATTTAACAGCAGCCATAAGTTCCACGGTGAGTAACCATGACTATTAAGGCTTTCTTGTCAGTAGCTACACCTGTATACAGACACTTTCTTACTCACACCTATTTTCTCCCACATACAGACCTTAATATATTCATAGATTATTCACCCTTCTCTCTCATACACACACTCTCCCCTTGAGTTTTCTACAGCTCACGTGGTCACAAACCTCTTTGACATGTGACCACAGCGTTAGTCCATTCTGAGAGAGGGGTCATGAAACTTTCCTTAGAAAAGAAGGAAGACGAAGGCAAAAAGGAGGAATAGATAAGGGAGTAAGACCTTTCCCAAAGACCTCCCTTCCTCACTGTTGATGCATTCCCCTGCATTCCAGATCCCAGGACTCCCTTGGCCATGGGAAGGTAGTACCTGCATAGAATGGGTCCTGTAGCTCAGGGGCTGGGCCTGGAGCTTTGTTGGAGCTGGCTTGGCTGAGGGGCTCTTGGCTGATGGGCTCAAAGGTCTCCATGCTGAGAAAGGCAGTGTTGGCTGGAGCTGGCCCAGCTTGAGCCACCCCCCATGCCTTTTAAAGCCCCTTTGTCTTGTCCCCAGAGCTGGCAGCTGAGTGAGCTCACTCTGCTATTTTTGGAGCCTGTCCCCCTCCCTTCTCTGGCCTGCTCCACAAGCCCCGGTGTGATAGACGTGGGCACCTGCCTACCCTTCCCCCCACTTCACCCCACTGGACAATGAGGTCTGCTTGACTAAAAATAGCCCTGAGCCACTAACTCCAGTCTCACCCAGCATGATGGGAAGGGAGAGAGTGCTAAAAGGAGAATTGGGGATAAGCATGGGATCCTGGGCATGCATCTGGAATTTCTTTGTGGTATATGGGACATTCTTAGGGATGCCAGACGCTAAACTGTCACATCTTTCGTTTCTAATACAGACTTAGAGACACAAAAATCCTAGGGATCAGGAATCAGAATGGTGGAGGGGAGGAATGGGAGATGAGAACTAGAGGGATAATCCGGAGATTTCCAAGGTGATGAGAACGGGCTCTGGGGAGAGGCATGGTAGGCATAGGAAGGGGAGAAAGTTCACTCTTAGACCGTGTTCTATAGCTCACATCAAAAATAGCAGAGCGCTTGAGATAAGTGGAACTGTGTTTTGTGGTGGGTTTTTTTTTTCTGCCCAGGCCTACATTCTTGCCTGAGATAAAGAGCTGAAGATCCCTCCCTCTACCACTTCCTAAGACAGCGGTTCTCAACCTGTGGGTCGCGACCCCTTTGGGGGTCGAATGACCCTTCCACAGGGGTCGCCTAAGACCATCGGAAAACACATATATAATTACATATTGTTTTTGTGAGTAATCACTATGCTTTAATTATGTTCAATTTGTAACAATGAAAATACATCCTGCATATCAGATATTTACATTACGATTCATAACAGTAGCAAAATTACAGTTATGAAGTAGCAACGAAAATAATTTTATGGTTGGGGGTCACCACAACATGAGGAACTGTATTAAAGGGTCGCAGCATTAGGAAGGTTGAGAACCACTGTCCTAGGGACTCATGACTATCCCATAGCCTCCCAGTCCCCAGGAATGCTAACTGAATTTACAAAGGTCAAAGGCTGCTCTGATTCTATGCCTGCAGTTAACACTGAAGAGGCCCTGTAGCCGTGCCTTGCTTCAAAATACTTCCCTGGCCCTAACCGGTTTGGCTCAGTGGATAGAGCATCAGCCTTCGGACTGAAGGGTCCCAGGTTTGATTCCGGTCAAGGGCATGTACCTTGGCTGCGGGCACATACCCAGTGGGGAGTGTGCAGGAGGCAGCTGATCGATGTTTCTCACTCATTGATGTTTCTAACTCTCTATCCCTCTCCCTTCCTCTCTGTAAGAAAACAGTTTGTAACTCGTCTTCCTATAAACCATATTTTTTTTACCATATTTTCTTAGTATACTCGTCGACGACTGAAAAAGAACATTTTGTGAAAACGAGTATACACGTTTCTGCCGGGGAAGGGGTTAAAAAACAAAATACTTCCCTGCCCTCTATCCAGCACCTAGCAAAATCATAGCAAGGACAACAAGCAGAGCCTTCATTGATTCATGTCTCTTTCCAACTTCCCTGCTTACCCTATTACTGAGCTGGGTTGAACCACCTGTACCTTTTTCCTGCACTAGTTCCAACAGCAGAAATAATGGGGGCCATGAGAATAATTATTGCCCTCTCCTACTCATCACTCTTCTCCACTTGTCCCCAAGACTATATCCAAGGGAAGCACAAGGTATGGTTATGACGGGGTAGATTTAGGGCTCAGATGAAGAGATCCTGGCTAGGGGGAGATGGTTTGGGCACTCACTGGCTTGCTTGGCCTTCTGGGTGTAGGTGGTAGTAAGATCTTCTGCCACCGGGTGGGAAACAGGCCCCACCATAGGGATGAGATGAGGGCCAGGCCGGAGGGTACCATGGGGCAACAGCAGGGCCTCGGCTGGGGGTGGCTTAAGGATGGCCCCATTCTCCGAAGATGGGGAGCTCACACGGCTGTCCCCCTGGCTGGAAGGGCCAGGGATAGCAGGTGCCGGCTCTGCAGGGCTGTCAGACAGGTAGACCTCATCAGGTGGGGCTCCCGGAGGGGTGGGCCTTGTGGGGCCTCGGCGGCGGGGTCGGCGGGGCTTCTCCTGGGTGGCAGGGCCGTCAGCATCACTGTCTGTTTCTCCGTAGTAAGCCTCACTATCAGGGGGGGAGAGGAGGCTCCCAGGCTGAAGAGACTGGGGAACTGGAGCACCAGGGGGCTCAGGACTCATCGGAGACAAAGGTGACAGCACCTGAAGCTCACCAGGGGATGGAGATCGCACAGGCCCTTCATCCTCTACCCTGCGAAAGATGAGAGAACTTGAGAAATGGATTGGATGACTGCCAGCTAGGGATCTGGAGGGGATGGGAAAAGGAGGTAAGGGGAGAAGGGAGATATAGGTGGAATGAGTTGGGGAGAGTGGAGCTCTGAAGACAAACTGGGAAGCAAATGTGCTCGGAGGACTGTGAGTAGAAATGGGCTTCGAGGGAGATGTGATAATGAGACAGGCAAGGGTGGAAGGAGGCCCACACACTCAGATAGCCACTCGACACTCCATCCCTCAATTACAGATCTATTCAAGCCTGTTGGGAGGCCTACACTAACATCTCTACTCCAGCACTGATACACGAGCAGAAATAGGCACTTGTCAGTTGCTGAAGCCAGGCCAGTGAGACACAGAGCTGAGTCAGGGAGCAGGGGGACAGGGCGGGTCGCCTTGGGAGGAGTCCATACCTCTGCACAGTGAGGACAAGTTGAGTCCCTGAGGCATCGATGAGGCTCATGGCACTGGCGTGAGAGAGACTGGTGCAGGAGACCCCATTGATGGCCAAAAGCTGGTCCCTCTCTCGGAGTCCTGCTCTGCCAGCCTGGCTCCGTCTTCGGATCTGAGAAGGTGTTGGAGGAGAGAGTGTAGGTGAGGGAGGGCTCCAAGGGGGAATAGCATGAAAGGAGTTAGGACGCGAAGGACCAGGTATGGAAGGGATTTGCAATGTAAGAAAGGGTGGAGAGGGGCATGGGACTGCAGTTGAGGGGGCCTTCCTAGAGGGAAGAAGGTACAGAGTGGAGGGAGCAATACATTATATGAGGGGAAGTAGGATAATCATCGAGTGAGAGGATTGGGGGCAGGACCGGTGCTAGAAATGGCTTCCCAAGATTTTCCTCTAAGGGCAATATCTATACTAGCAATAGTTCACTCCCAGGCCTTGGAATCCCAGGCACTATTAGCTACATAGTCTAATGTTTCAGAACATTATTCCAGATTGGAGGGAGTCCTGCAGATCCTGGGAGACTGGGATTGTGTGTGTATAGGTGTGCCATGGTGGCTATCCTTTACTGAGTGCTTACTAAATGTTAGGCATGGTGCTAAGCACTCTACATGTATTAGTGCATTTAATCCTTAGAGGGGTTCTATGAAGTAGCAACTCTGGTTACCCACATTTTACAGTTGAAAAAATTAGGCCTGTACGATGAAACCAATAGGGTAACAACTTCAACTGGCAGGCTAGCACCAAAAAAAGAGTCTTGCCTAGTGAGGAGGGATCTGGCGTAGGAAAAGAGGAGCATTGAAGGCATGGGCAGGGCAGGGCAGGGCAGGGCAGGGCTAGGCTGGGCTGGCATGACAGCCTCAGCTCATCACATATCAGTTTAGTTAGAGAGAAATTAGAACCTTCCCTGCATTCCTGGAGTTTGGGGTAGAGGCACAGACCCAGGAGACTGGGTGGCCAGCCCCGAGCCTCTGCTGCTCTGGTGCCGCAGGGAACTGAGACAGAGTCTCTTTTTCTTCGCTACCAGAAACCAGGAATTCCCTTTTCTAATAGCCCCACCCCCACAAGAAGCTGGTGTTCAGACATTACCTCCCCCACCAAACTTTAGCATGCTTCCCTGCCCATCTACCCAGCCCACTCCTCCTCCTCACCGCCTCCCACTTCACCACATGACCCTTCCCAGGTTCCCCCTTTCCCTGAAACCTCAATGTAGGGGCTCTCCCTTACCTTGGATACCTGTAAGGGTTTCCTCTGCTCGGCCCCCCCCTGAAGTCGGAAGCCCCAGGGGGCTCCCCCTGACAGTGTGACCAGCACCTCCTTCTCAGCACCCATGGCTCAGGTTGGCCTATGGCCCTCGGAGTGTGGACAGTGTCCCAGGGAGAGGAATCGGGGTGCTGGTACCCCGTCCGGCCTGTCTGTCTGGCTGTCCTGCTCCTGCTGCCCCAGGCCTTCCCCCCCACACCACACACCACAGGCAGGCAACTTGGCCCTGGGATCAGTACAGTCCAGCACACGTGTCCTGTCAATCGGAGTTGTGCTCAAAATAGTTGCCGGCTGTACTCCTCTCCCTCCCCCAGCTCTATTACTCCCAGAACTAATTATAGTAAAAATTTCTGCTCTCCCCTGTCCCCCATTCTCCTGCAGGGGCCTTTTACTCAACACTCACACTAGTAGTTCTCTGGGCTCTATAACTCACATACACCCTTTCAGGGACTGTGGGTTCCCTGATAGGATCATAGACTAATTCCAAGTGCTTTCCTCCAAAGCTCATTTCAAAGTGGCAGCAGCAGAGGCTTCAATTCCAGAGCAAGGAATGGCTGGTTTTGTCCCACAAGTTCTCCAGCTTCCTAGAAAGGAGTGCCCCTTCCTGCATGAATCTACCTATTAATCAAAATGGAGATCTATATCCCACTGCAGTGCTGGGTGCTATTTAGAGGAATTCTGATCAGCTTTGCTCCAGCTGAACAGTTACCTGTTCCATAAAGCCTTTCATGCCTATCTCCTGACTCCCTACCTATACAATAGGCCTTTCTTCCTCTGGGCAACAGATGTATCAATATATTTCTATTGTATTTTTCAGCCACTATTACAGTTTGTCTATCTGCCTGTCTCTCTCTTAGATTCTGAGAAACTTGTGTGCAACAGCCAATTAACAGCCCATAGAACAATGACAGATATGAATAGTGCTCAATAAATCTTTGCTAACCCAGCCAATGTGGCTCAGTGGTTGAGCATCGACCTAAGAACCAGGAAGTCAGGTTTCAATTCCCGGTCAGGGCACATGCCTGGATAAAGGGCTTGATCCTGTGTGGGGCATGCAGGAGGCAGCTGATCAATGATTCTCTCTCACCATTGATGTTTCTATCTCTCTCCCTCTCTGAAATCAATAAAAATATATTAAAAAATAAATGTTTCTAAATTAAATTACCTGTTATAATAAGGTGGTCATGGACAGGTGAATACAAATAGTTGTGCATAAATATGCCAACCTATCCTATATAATAAAGAGCTACTATGCAAATGGTCATCACACCCTCATGCCATCACCCTATAACACCTCAGACACTCAACACTGGGGAGAGAGGAATGGGGACCAGCCAGGCACAAATGAGCTCACGAGAGAGGAATGGAGACCAGCCAGGCTACAGCCTGGGAGAGGGAGAGGAGAGGGGACCAGCCAGGCTGCGGCCCAGGAGAGGAATAAGCTGCCCACCCCACAGTCCTGGGCACCTGTGGCTGCAGCCCTAGTGAAGCTGCTTACCCAGAGTCCCCTGTGGCTGCAGCTGGCCCAGGTTCTGGGTGCCTGTGGCTGGCCAGAGGGAGGGAAGCCCAGGTTCTGGGCGCCTACAACCAGCCAGAGGAGGGAATCCTGGGTACCAGGTGTAGGGCAAGGCAGAGGCAGTTAGGGACGATCAGGCCAGCAGGGGAGCAGTTAGAGGTAATCAGGCCAGTAGGAGAGCAGTTAGGGGCGATCAGGCCAGTAGGGGAGCAGTTAGAGGTAATCAGTCCAGTAGGAGAGCAGTTAGGGGCGATCAGGCAGGCAGGCAGGTGAGAGATTAGGAGCCAGTGGTCCAGGATTGTGAGAGGGATGTCCGCCTGCCGGTTTAGGCCTGATCCCCGGAGTTCCGGATTAGAGAGGGGGCAGGCTGG